AATTACAAGATCCGACTTGGTTCTTTAGCCGGGCTCCAGCTCGATTTCAGCTCAGGATCCGTGGCGGTCGAAAGGTCGGGTGTCGGCTCACGGGCCGAAGGGCACCACAACATCTCCACGGATGCCAAAAGATTTTAGTTTAGTAGCAGCTTGGAATCGAGAGCTTGGATTCGTAAGTTTTTGACTTTCGAAGGCTGTAGTGGTTATCGAAAATTCGCAAATGGCATAAAGACAAAAAAGGGGAAGAATCTCGGTCTAAAGTTGCGCGCGCGAATTAGCATTTGGGAACAGCGAATTTTATGAAAACACTAGAACTGGTAGAAAGAGCTGAAACGGAAGACAACAGGGATCATTTCGAAAAGCACATGATTTAAAATGAGTTGATTCGCCAAACAACAGGGGGCAAACTGGCAGAACTCATTTGGGGACAATAGCCTTTCTAAAACCCTGGCAAAATAGCTTGTAAATCAGATTATTAGGCGAACGCGGAGATTCTTTGCGGAAACCTGAAATCCCTGGTCTATTTAATAGTAAGGCCTCGATAAGCTGAGGAAACCCAGATCATAATGTGACGAATTAAATTCAGCTTTTCAAAGGCATCTAGTAAAGTCTTCAAAAAAATTCGGTAGTGTCTATTGATGCGTCAATCGGGCCTGAAACGGCTTCAAAAGCCCGAGCCGAAGAATGCAAAAATTTCGTCACCAATGCCTATTTATTCCACGGATTTTTATGGCTAGGGCACAAACTTTGGCACTAAAAACCTTGTCCCCAAAAAGTTGAGGACACACTAAAGAGCCTTTGGAGTGGCCCTTAAAAACCCCGGAAAACGACGTACGTCCGAACGGCTGAATGGAAGTTGCAAAATTTATTTATACACCCAAGAGGGGCGATAAATTTGAGTTATTAATGGTTAATAAAATTCGAGGTTGCACTTTACAACCCAGATCCTTACGAAATAGCACGATAAATGGCCTTTGTCTGCGTCAGCTTCGGGGGCTATAATTTTTTAAATTGTCATGGTATATTGTTCCTGAAGTTCATGCCGAGGAGAGCAGTTGTTTTCAAGAGCCACCACTTTTTATTGAAAACGTAGGTGGGTTGAAGTTCGCCTTCAAGCTTTGCAAAACGAATGGTTTTTTTCGGATTAACCGTATCTCCTACTTGCTATAAAATTTTCGCCGCATTGCAGGTTACAGTGCAAAATTGACCAAAAAGTAATTTGTTAAAAATTTATTTCGAGAAGTTAATGCCCGACGGTTCAGCCGGATTTCCAAAAAAAAATTTGAGACGAGCCAAAAACAAAGTTCGCTTCCCCCCAGAGAGTGGATCCGTAAGCAAACGCAAAAATGGTAATGTCAAGGGCCGGGTTGAGGGGGATGGATTTTTATTCTGTGGCAGAGGCCCTGCGAAAACAAACGACTAACCTGATATTTCGAGGAACAACGGAAAACGCGCATTAATGGGATAACGAGTATTTTTGGTGCTGTTACTATTTTTGGGGCCTTGGCGTTTATTTTGAGAATTTTTGAACGTAGAAATTACGTAAAGTTTCGCCAAAAACGATTAGGATTTTTAGTAATTCGAGCCTGGTAGCTGATTAGGTCAGTCGGATTACCGTAACTAGGGGTTTGTTTGGAAAAAGCCGCATTATTAAGTATCTTTTAAAAAAGCATGCTCTAATTTTAAAAACCCACTATGAAAGGGGAAAAAATTGAACTGAACCACTGTAACTCAAAAGATGAGGACTTTTTGAACAGAGAGGGTTACTGTAAGAGCTCGAAACAGTCAGCTCAGGCTCAAGACGAACCTCAAGTTCAGAAAAAAAAGCTTTAAGGCTTCATTCACCGATTGTAAGAAAAAATTAAGCAAAACCTTCAACGGAACTACGGCAGCATAAAAAAAATCCAAATTTCTTGAAACCAAACAGTTCAAGCTCAAGATGAATCTCAAGCTCAAAACGAAGCTCCTGCTGACCTAGTATGATCTGGATTTGTCATTTCCCCATATCCCTTATATCCAACCCAAAACCCCCGGTTTCATCCGCTCGCTGACGCAGTTGCCGAAATCTAACGCATCCGGAATTTCCGATGCGTTCTCCCCACACCTCGTCGTCGTCATAAAATAAATGGGAATATGTCGAGGAGCGGCTTTGCGCTAGAAAAACGTATGTATAGATGTAATTGGTGCGCCGTGGATTGGGTTGTAGCCTCGGGCCCTCGGAGCTAGAGCAATCGGCAACCCGAAACAGGAGCCGCTTCATCTTCGCGCCTGGGTCCGGGGCTGAGGGCGATGAAATTTAATAAAATGAACCCCCGGCCCGGGGTGCCGAATACGTTGCGCAAACTAATGACGATTTTGGGCGATGTGTTTCCCGCTCAAAAACGGGACATTTTGAGCTCAAAAAATTCCAGGGGATTGTAGTGTTTAGACACGCTTTTGCTTAGCTGAGGCTTAGGCTGAGGATTTGGCTTTGGCGTAAGCGTAGGCGTAGGCTGAGGATTGGGCATGGGCTTAGTTTAGGTTTAAGCTTAGGCTTTTAGGTGATTTGAACTCTTTGTCTTTGCTTAGAAAAGAATTTTTGGCGAGTTTCTGAGACGCTGATGCACCCATTTTGTTCCAGACTTGATAAAGCACCTGCAGGTAAATAACTACTCATAAGAAAAATTCAATTGTAGCACTGTTGGATATGGTGACTACTTTTAATAGTTATGCTCACAGCCACTTATCCCCAAAGGAAAGGAAAGATACGGATGCTTCGGAACCTCATTTGGAGGCGCCGTAAAACCAGAAAGAGTACACCCTGACCGGCCCTTTGGCCCAACCAAAAAGGGGCGACCAAATTCCGGCGCACGACTATGAGCAACCTTTTTCAGAATTTTTCCAATGACCACCCTGTAATTTTGCGACTATAGTGCACCCGGATATTGCTGAAAGGGTGCCGTGGATCGACATTACGGTGGGCTGGGTAAACTGACGGATACTGAAATTTTTACCTGGGACGATGCGGCAAACTTCTGAAGAACGAGTTAGTTGAGGAAGACTTATTGGGAGAGTGACCGGACCAGATGCCAGGTTATTAGAGGGGGCGGGAAATAACAGAATCGAGCTTGTATCGATAAAATCTCAGGTTGGTAGTGTTGAAAAACGGCGAGGGATCGCTTCTGCGTGTGCTACGGACTTAATGAAGCGCCGACGATTACGCAATATAACGCGGGCCGGGGTGCGTTGCGTGTCGCGGTCGTGGCAATGTCTAGACCAAAAAAATAATTTCTATGTTTTGCTGACTTTGTTATGGTTCAATTCAGCAATTTTCGACCAGATGCCTCAACCTCACTCTTCAAAAATCAACTTCTCGAACTGCTAGTTTCCTAAGTTGATTCTTAAATCTCTATTGACCAACTACTTCCCCACACACCCAATTGATCTCTCCCCTTTCACGGTTACCTGCGGGAAATTGCCATGACTGAGTGACTGGATGAAATCGTTGGATGGATAGAAACAGGACCGACTGCTGACCGCCTTCCCCCAAATCGACTCCCCAACACTAAAAAAGGGAAAAATGCCGCAATCGCGCGCTCACTGCGGGGCCGGACACGGTCCGTCAAACTCCAGCGTTTGTCCGTCTGTCCGCCTGTTTGTCTGTCTGTCCGTTTGTGTGTGCGCGAGAGCAGCGATTTATCACAAAAATTTTACCACCCCGGCGGCGGCGCCGAGAGCGGAGTGCGCGTCGGTCGGCCCCATCCATTCACGGGATCGTGCTCCGCATTTTCATCGATCGTCTCTGGTAAATGCGACATACGGTTTTTTGGCACGTTTCCATATAGAAATCGGATTCTAGCTGTCCTTGTCTCTTTAAAGGCCATGCATTTTGATTTCTTGAATTCGATTAAAAAGACTAACATTTAGAATTTCCTATGGGTTTTTTGTCGGCATGTTGCCATTTTTGGCACCGTAATTCCAAGCTGCTGTCATCGCCCCCTTAAAACTACCTCGAAATGCGTCCTTCTAGAACTCAATATTTTCACCTCCTGGTGTCAGGCAAATGCAAATATTTACACTTATTTGCATTAATAGGCTATGTTTTTTTGCTGTTACTGTTTAACAGGACACGGACGTGCCAGAATCGATGGCAAGCGGTAGACAATTACCGATTGCTCCAAATGACGTAATGAAGACGAATACTGTACGTCTCATGACCGTATTTCGACGTGAATTTGGGCAATGCAGACACGCGAACTTATACATAGACAATAAAAGTCATTAATTTTGACGCTTACATGCCCCTTGACTTAACGCTATTTGATAAGTACGCCACACCGGCTACGCAAAATTTTATGTCTAGCCCCTGAAACCTACCGGAAGTTTGTTAGTCAACAAAAACTCATTCCGCATCACTCCTCCACACAACCTGAGACATGTGGCAAAGTGCGCGATGTGTCATCGATGCTTGTCTATCGCCTAGATCGACCTTATCCCCCCCCACGAGCCAGACCAACCATGCAGCCCAATTCATTCGTAAGCAAGTCCGATTTTGCATGCTGTTTTTAATTTATTATCTTACTAGAAATAAATTACAACGGTTTTTTGATGGAAATCCTAAATTTGCAAAATCTCCTTGAATTTTCAACTATTTTGCCGGTTGCAGCAGAATAACGGCTCTCAACCTGGAAATAAAAACCCCCCAGCCATCTATTTCCTATTTTTTCTCTGTACTTTTCATCCCCTCTTCTATTTTTCCAATTTCCAGACTACACTTTCCAAATTACACCCAGAAACACCTAAAAATCGACCCCAAAATTTGTGAAATTGATACATTTTTGATCGATCAGTCGGTTGTTGTATTTTTTTCCGGGTTTTTGTGTGCGTGTTTTTGCGCAACGCATTTTTTTACTCGAAAGCAACAGCTGGTATTTCTCCCCCCATTCCCGCTCTTGCTTCTTTAACCTGCCCCCACCACCCACCCCCTCGCGCATGCGTAAACAAATCGCTCCGTCTTTAGCATGTTGCCGTTCAGCAAGTCGACCTCCAGATTTGAGCTATCGACAAGTCCGGCACGGTCTGATCGATTGCCGAACGGGATTCAGGAAACGCCAGTGAGACGGTAGGGCAGGAAATAGCCATTGAACACTGACGATTCAGGCCCTGCTCAAGCGAGGGACGCTTCAGTATAATCCAATCGAAAGCCCAGTCGAACTCTAGCAGTGATGAGGATGAGGTGGCGGCCAGTTATTCGAAAACAGGTAAATTTTTGGGAAAGCGAGAGAGAGCGAAAGAGAGAGAGAGAGAGAGAGAAAGAGAGAAAGAGCGATCGAGATGCTTTTACAGATAGGTTTTTGATAGCTTTAAAAACGATGAAGGCAAGTTTTTGATAGAATAAAAATTAGAGCTATCTCACTAGAGTGAATCCCAAAGCGATATGAACCCTTATCACCCTTACCTGTCCTTTGCATTTTTTTGATCTTCCACTATTTCTCTAGTTCCTCTTTTACCTAATTTTTTTGACGGATTTATTTGATTGGTTTAGTTTATCTAATTAAACTGTTTATTCTTTATGCTGTCACTTTTGCTCTAGGCACCGTTATCCAGTGATCAAAAACACTGATTGAGTGAAGAATTGCACTTAAACACATAAGCACATAAGGCTCAGAAATATGAAGCAATTTCCATGCTGCTAATGACATTTTCAAAGATGTCCAAAGATCTCTAAGAAGGGAACCTCAAGTTGGCACGGTGGAGTTTCGAAAAACGTTCGCGGCTACCCCTAGGTTTTCGAGTCGGTTTTCGGTCGAATCAGAATTTCCTAAATCGGCCTCTGGACAGAGATACAGCACTTACGGAAAATGATGATTAACATCCGAAAAATTAGCATAACCGATAGGTTTATGAGGCTCTCCCACCACTATGGAATCACCAGTGGAGTGGCCGAGTGGTGAGCGACTCACTTGGTAGAATACTGACGAGAGTACGGATCCGCTCACGATTTTTTTTCTTTTGCTTTTTGTTCAGAATTTTCTACGCAACTCCAAGTTTTCATGTTCAATATTGGAAAACTTTTTGATTATTCCCCAGCCTGCCTGACTGCTCCAAAGTAGTTTGCGCCCCCGGACAGAAGAGGCCTTTCCCTCCGCTCATCGCCATGCCCCCTTTGGTATAGTGGCTTGACTGCGGTCTACCACACACATAGTCGAGGGTTCGGATCCTGGCGAAACATAACTTTTTGCTTTTTGGTGGTTCATCAACAGAACATCATTCTAGGCTCTCGGTGTGCGAAGTTTAGGCCTGGCTCTCGCTCTAGCGCCGTAGGCCAAATGCTGGAGAAAAACCAGTAGCTAGCGCCGCAGGCCCGAGAATGGCTTCGAGAGTCAGGCTCTTGCGCCGCAGGCTTGAAAAACGGGAGGGGGATATATGGTTCCTAGACGGGGGCCAGTGGAAAAGGGCCGCGAAGCGGTCATTTTCCACTGGTTTAAGAATATAGGCAATAAGTTTTTTATCTACATTACGGTCGATCGGTTACGTCGGGATTTTGGCTGCCGGCGGCTTGGCTTGTCGGTATTTTGCTTGTGGCGATTTTGAGCGGTGGGGATTTTCTGCGGTTTTCTGCGGGATTTTCCATTTAACCATTTTTGTTTTGGTTTCATTTGGCTTTAATTTTCTTCTTTTTTTTTTGTTTTCTTCCCATTTGGCGTCTACAACACCAAAACTTGCAATATTATAAATAGTCATCATAATAAATAACGTCTTAGAATTTTTTTATAATGGAAGAAAGAATAAAGCTTCATAATAATTTTTAATTATCTCGAAATATCTGTTTTTTTTCGTTTTTCAACCGTATCAAAGATGGGGGATTCCCCTGGCCCTCACTCCCAGTCAACGCTGTGCCCCAATCAAAAACATTTCCCACCAGCCATCCCCCCGTTCCTCCCCTTTTTTGCCGGGGTCTTTTTGAGTTTATTTACACCGCTTCTCCTTGCTAAGCAAACAGTGGAACTCCCGGGTCGGGTACTACACTTCCCGGCCGGCCCGGAATTGTATTTGTCAAAAATAAGGAATTGCCTGAAGCTGGGTGCATCCAAATATGGCGGCTTTGAGTGGGTTTTCGAGGTTTAAAAGCTTTTCTAGGGATAATCTGAGCCCTGGTTCTTTTTTATTGCGTTATTTACAAGTTATTAAAAGTATCGAGTTTGTCAAAAATTGGCAAAATTGTTTAAATTTTCTCAAATATTTTTTTCAGTCGGACACCCCGCCTCCAGCAGCAAAATGCCACAAATGACCATCGCCTCTTGCGTCCCGTTGGCTCCATCACTCAAAAAACCGACTCATCTACATCCTGCTGTGATTTTTGGCGGAGAGAAGGTATTGGAATTGCTTAATCGATGGTAAAATCAAAATTAAGCCCCGAAAATCCGTCGAATTCTCGTTGCCGTCGTCGCCAGTGTCGCCCGGAATGGTTACTGGAAGTCGATTTAAGGTATACAAATGAGATTGTGTTGTAATTATTATAATTTAAATGTTTCCTATTAGCTTTGCGCATTAATAAAAACAACATGCAAACATTTAGATAACTCTGTGCCTTAAAGACGCCAAACTCTAAAAAATGTTACCATCCCGAAATTCTCCAGCTTTTAAATACAACAATTTTTGTAAAATCTGCAATCTAGATTGTTCCCGTCGAGACGAAATACAAACGGGGCCGCTGGACATGCCACGATTTCTACGATCCTGAACTAAAAATGAGCTCCAGAAGCTGTCCACCACCACCCGTGAAGTGTCCGGATATTGGTGGGTCTACCTGACTCTTTAAACGCTCTCCAAAGTTTTTTTTGACAAACACTTGATCTATTCTGGTAGAAAATGCTGCGCAACTAGTAGATAATCACCGGCTGCCCTTTTTGTTGACCGGGCGCATCAGGGGCGTCTGTGCGCACGGGCGGAATCGCATTTTTATCTGGGGCGGCTAAAATCGGTTTTTCGTCACTGATTCCTGTGTTTTTGAAAGGTGTTCCATTCATAGAGAACATAGGCAGAGTTGTTTTTTCTGGCTTAAAGGGAGTGGAACAAGGGTTTTTGGGTATTTCAAATCTTTCTGAGATTAAGATGCGGGCTCTCTCGGTCTCTCTCGCTCACTCTCACTCTCTCTCTCTCTCTCTCTCTCTCTCTCTCTCGATCTCGCTCGTTGTCTATCCATTTCTGGGCTCCATTTTCATACGCCATAGATAAGTTTTGAGCTTGTATAGTCCAGAAATATTTCTTACTTGCTCCTTCTTTGTGCTCTTTTCTGTTCGTATTTTCACTGCTCTCGACTGACCACTGGTTCGAAAGGTCTTCGCTCATCCTTACACTGTCCATCCCACCCTCCATCCCCTCCCTCACGAACTTGAGCTGTCCGAACTATTGCCTTGTTGCGGATTTTGGGCCTCGTCATTGTTGAACCTTTTCTGCCTAAGCCGCTATCTAACTTAAATCCCAAGCCTAAGCCTAACCTAACCTAAGCATAGCACGACTTAAGCCCAACCCTAGGCGCAATTTCTAGTCTCCACCACCTATATCCCGAAAATCGAAGAAGTTATTGCCACAGCGCGTGGCAATCAAGTTTATTACACGTACAACAACCGCTAGCCATTGTTATTTGCACTGACTATACAACTTTCCGAACCTCGGCGCCAAAATCTGTTTCCCTCAGTTTCAGTGTTTTTCAAAGGCGTAATACCAGGCTCGATAGGTCTTTGGCCGCCTAAAATTGGCCTTTTTGTGCGGACAAGCTCCGTCAAATTGGTCTGGGGCCCGGAGGCGACACACGGCAGGGGCGGGATGGACCTAGGTTTTTGTTCAATTTCCGGGCTGTTTCCGTCCGTGTCTTATCTTATAGTTTCATCTGGGAGTTTGTTATATTTTTTTCTAGCATTCTCTCTCGCTCTCATGCTCTTGCTCTTTTTTGCATCTATCTCTCTCTCTTTCTCTCTTTTTCTCGCTGTTTAATACTTAATTAAGTCTCTGCAAGTCCTTTAAAATTTCCACATCTCGCTTCCACAAATAGCACCTGAAAATTAAATTGGTCCCCCACAAAAAATTGAACCTTTCAGCGGTTTCTATTGTCCCCCAGCCCTCCAGCCAAGTGCCATCCAGTGTTTTCCGGTGCCACCGACCCTTTCAGCCCCCCTTTCCGGAACGAAGATAGACGAGCACGGCACCAGAATTGCCGCTTTTGCTGCTGTTGAGGCCCCCATTCTCGATGTCTAGCGTTTGCCGTGACCCGTAAATAAACTCATCTCCGGCTATGTATATTGGCTAGCCGAAAAATAGATGGGCTCTGCTTGTCGATTCTGACATGGGGGATATTTCCGGTTTTTAGGGGATGATGGGATAAGTAACGTAGTCTGGAATAACACGAAATTATGGAAATTTCTTTGAATTGGGCAGCGATTTTTCACGCCTTTTCGGTCTGCCTGTCTTTTGAAGGCTGAATAATGAATTTTGCACCATTTTGATCTATAATTTTAATGGCTTTTAAATCTATTTTGGGACCAAACTTCTCTTAAGTAGACTTTGAATTAGAATCGGACTAGAAAATCTAGAAAAGACTAGCATTTCTCGAGCTCCCGGAATCGAAAAATTAACAAAAATCTTCCAAAATAAAAATGGTTTTACAAGCTATTGTATTTTATTAACCTGGTTGAATTTAACCTCAATAGCGCGTTTAAGAATTGCAACGTTGACTTTAAATTTCAATGCAAAGTTGCAAATTCCATGTGTTATTTATGATCATGCAAAATCCTACGTTCGCCACGATTTTTTTTTCATTTCCGCCCCATTCCTAATCCACCAATTCCTCAAAAATGTCCCATAAAGCTGTCCACCCCCGGGGAACGCAAATTCCCGTTCTAAGGGCCCCCTAACATTTTTTATTCATAATCTGGCGACCGACCACCGGCGACTAGCTGCAGCAACCAAACGACAAAAATAAGGGTCTCTAGTGAATTCTAAAAACAGCCGCTTTTGCTTCAAACTTCCCGGTGGATCCATTTTTGGGGGCTGCAGCAAGTTTTCGGGGGGTTTTTTGCATTAGCTGTTTTCAGGGTAGCGGGGTTGCATACAAATTTTTCGGGTGTGGAGGCCGCTGACTTACGTCATGTGAGATCTTTTATGCTAAATATTTTTGAAAATTAAATGATTTTCAGTATCGTAATTATTCCTTGAATCGCGTTGTGGCCCTTTATCCCTGCCCATAGTTAAAAAGCTAATTTCTATATGTCCTAATGGTCGAAAATCGCGTAAAGTAATTCCCGAATTTGCAACGTTTTGTTTTGATGGTGCTCGCGCCTTATCTAAATGACCAGCCGATAACTCTAGGGGTTTATGCGGGAACGTTTAGTCAAATAGGCAGCAGAGTCTGGGCTTATTATTGTTATGTTGAGGTATCCTAAATTAAATTTATTTTTCGTATAGTAAGCTCCAAAATCCACGTTTAGCTGTGTTTCCATTATCTTATATAATCTACGCAACGTTAAAGGCAGTAACGTTCAAAAAAAAAACGGTTTTAAGTCTATTTTCCCTCGGCGGGAGTGACAGAAATCAATTTCATTCTAGTTTACTGAATATTTAATGTTTGAATGATAGTTTCAATTTTCAACCAAGCTTTCTAACTTTTTTTTTGCTATATTTGCTTGATTTTTTTACCGTTTCAGGACTAGAGGGTTCAAAAACCTGCTTCCTAGTACTTTTTAGAAGCACCTGAAACCCTACCCACTCTCCACCTTTGACGATCACTCATTCATGCGTTTTTGAGCTTTCCACGTATGCTTTTGGCGTCCTATTCCTTGCCTTTCAATTTTTTCGCGTTCTCCCCGCGAGTGTTCTCGGTTCCGTAAATTCCCCCCGAAAGCAGCTGAAAATAGGGATCCACACACACTCGACGCGTCAGTTGTTCCGGTTTGCCAACGGGGCCGTAACGAGTATTCTCGCGTCGTCGTCTCATACCCCCTGGTGATCTCCTGCTCACAATCACCCGATTGCTCCAGCTAGCGATCGTACTGCTATTCGGGTCTGCTAAAAAATTGGACCATGCGTTTCCAAGAGCAAGGTATATAATTTTGGAGGGCCGGAAATACGTTATTTAATGTGTAAAAACAATACTTTAAACTTGCAAAACTTTCAAGGGCTTCCAGGAGCAAGACATAGAATTTGGTAGTACCGAGGAACAGCCTATTTGATGCCTAAAAACAATACCTAAACTCTGTATTCTTTCATACATTTTGGTTAATAGAAAATTAAATTAAATTCTTTTAATTATATATTATTAAAGGAATCAAATAGATTTACCTTTAATTTCATACATTCAAGTCCTATTTTCCAGTCGTCGACACCCGAGCCCAACCGAAAACAGCACCGCCTGCGCAAGCTGTAAGTTCTTAAAATGTTAAATCTATTACTTATCAGATTAATAAGTATTTAATCTTTAATTAAATGTATATTTCATGCCTTATTCAATACGCTTTTTAGACCCGAAAATTCAGCTTCGAGCAGCACGAACAAGAAAATAATGGCGGCTTCAGCAAGGTCAGTTTTTGTCCGGCTTTTTAATATTATTTGTATTGTTTTAAACATAGAAGTGTGCAATTTTTATACACTTAATAACTAAATTAAACCCATAAATGCTTAAATTTAGAGTCAAACCCAATACACGCGCCCGGTCGCCCCCAGGAAACAGCCCATTGCTGGCCCGCTGAATAATGCCCAGAGAGGTAATTTTTCCATCTATAGAAGTTATATTTTTATGTAATTTCAATCATCAAGCTTTTTTGATACAATATTTTAGCCATTTTGCTCCGCAGCACTTCGTATGGTAAGTCTCGCGCGCGTTCCCGTCGCAAGAGTTTATGCATGGTTTTGGAATGCATGAGCTTTGTGCCCTTGTCTGGATTCTCCTCAAGATTTGCTCCCTTCGTTTTTTTTATTTGAATAGTAAAAAGCGTTCAAGGAAACTAGCTGAATTAGAAAATAAAATGTTACATTTGCCGGCGAGAAATGACTATTAATGCGGAAATTCTCGCAATCGATTGATCTCTCATTTTAATCAAATTTCGGCAAATCTGTAGCTTTGAAAAACCACTTACTTTTGGTGATTTCATTAAATAAGATTCAGCTAATTTCTTATTGTATGTGTTTGTAGTTCTTGTTGTACTGTGTAGTTTTATTTATCTAGATCGGCTCTCAAAATGTTCAAATTTAGACAAAGACGGAAAGTACACCCCATCGGAAGTGCTGCAAAGCGGTCTCGAAAACACGCTCGACCTCACCAATGGCAAGAAAATGAGGTGGGTGAATGGGTTTGGGGCGGAAATTATAGTGTGTGGATGGTCGACGAGGGGAATGGGGTAGAGTTTGGGCTATAAAAGTGTACTTTTATGTTTCGCGCGGGAAAAAAATCTGCCTAAACCTAAGCGTAAAACTAAGCCTACGCCTAATAAACTTAAGTTGAACCCTAAGCCTACATCGAAAGTGTGCGCTTGAAATAGACCCCTTCTTACGTTAAAAACCCCAGTAATCCGATTTCTTACCGCTTTCGACCAGGTCCCACAACTTTTTCCTATTACGTAGTAATGTCTGGACGACCAAAAAGTACGTCAATATGTGCAGCGTTCCGTTAATGAACGGATTACGCGGTGTCGTACGGCTTCCGGTCGTGACTTATTTGGTCTATAACGTACTTGTTTGGTGTTTTTGACCATCGAACTTTTCTCTGATCAGCTACCACATCCATAAACCGAACATCCTAAATTTTTTTGGCAAAATCAACTAAGAAATTTTTGCAATGTTTTAAATAAGCAGAAAAACAAGAAAAAAAAGCTGTTTTACATGTCAGAATTAACCATTAATACGAAAAATTACTATGGGGTTATTTCTAAAATTCCAGTGGTTTTTTAAGATAACAAAGCCCTACCTGGAATGTTTCCAATGGTGTCAAAGTTCCCCACCAAGACACTGCAGCTTATCACGAGCACAAAGACCCCTAAAATCAAAGGAACAACCCGAGAAACAGCTTTGATCTGCTGACGCAGGCGTTTTTAACATTCCCTTGGCAATTTTCCAACTCGGAATCCGGCGCCTGCAAATAAATAATGCGCATTTCGGTTAACTTCCGGGTGGAGCATCGTTCGCCTCGCGTTTTATTTCGTTGGAGGGCCCTGATTTATTTTGCGCGGCGGCTAGTGGGGGTAGGGATTTTCCAGGTGTCCATCTGTCGGAGGAGCTTCTAAAAACTTTTCAGCTTTTGCTTAAAGTTTCTAACTTTCTGTAAAAGACCGCTCGATAGTACTTTTTGAACCCAGAAAATCACATCAATTTTTGAAAAGTATGCTATTTTTCTTGTTTTCTCGCGAATTTTTTGAGTTTGGTTATCACGTTTTTCTTCATAAAATCAATATTCTAGAGAATAAAATGAGTATAGTAAAATCAACAATCAGATTTTAAAGTTAATTAAATTTGCAATTTTTCGGGTACGAAAATTGATTTTTAAATCTGCAGATTCAACTTTTGGCTTCGAAGTTTGTAACTTCCTGATTTCTGCCTATTCTTTGACCTCCATACCGTCCAGTTGAACACCTTGGAGTTTTTGCACCGCTTGCAAAACTTGAGTGCTATGGTCGCGCCCCGAATGCCACTTTTTCCGTGCTGACGCCTCGAGCCCAAGTAGTGGATCGGCTTCTCGGGCCAAACAATGTGCGCATATTGTCGGTTTGTGGGTTTTCTGTTTGTGCGTCTGTCCGGGGGGCCCCACCCAGCAGTGGCCATCATCACCTGAATCGCAGAAGCGGCGTTTCGGAAGCAGGGAAAAGGAGAGTAAAGTGAGGGAAAGAGAGAGTGAAAGAGAGAGACAGAGAGAGAGAGAGAGAGAGAGAGAGAGGGAGAGAGAGATAGTAACGGGGAGCTGTCGAGTATAGCGGCAAATAAACGGATGCCCCTAGTGGCCCCACGAGTCAACTGATCACAGATGGTCGCCACAGACCCCTGGCTGATTCGGTCCAGACGTCTCAGAAGCCTGTTTGTTGTTGATATCTGGCATTTATTTGATTCGATTATTGAGTTTTTATAGTTTCCTCGTTAAAATTAAGTCTGATCCATGCTGCACGTCTTTTCCGCATCTCTTTTTCTGCCTCATTTCCGCTCCTAGAACTTTAATAGAGCTCCGGAATTTTAATCTTCAACAGCTAGCGGTGGATGATTGGTTTGATCAATATCATCTGTAAAAATCGGTAAAGATTGCTAGATGATATTGATCAAACCAATTAAAGTATTTTTTTGCCCAAAAATAGACACCACGGCTGGCAAAACAATCGTGGTCAATTTGCGAAATGCGTTTGCAAACACAAAATCTCATCTGGACAAATGGATGGTGCACAGATTTTGAAAGCTTTTGCTTGGAAAATCGGCCATAAGCCATTTTTTATCTAATTTTTATTATTATAGCATTATCAATACCCTAAATAAACGCAATAATTTAACATTTTCAAGTTGTTTGTATTTTCTGGTCACTTTTTCGGGCACGAAGATAGGTTTTAGCCAAGGTCTTAGCAAAATTAGAGGACGTAATCAGAGAAATAAAAGCTACGCGTGATTCTAAGCCCAACCAGGCGTAAATCTAAATCCTAGCCAGGAGCCTAAAGCCTAAACTGGAGCCTAAGCTTAATCCCACGCCTCACCAAAGCCTAAACATAAGCCCAAGCCGAAGCCGAAGCCTAAACCCGCGGCCAAGCCCAAGCCTGATTCACCACCCTCCGATTTTTGAGCCCCTGTATTTTTGGCGCATCGCAGCGCGTGGGACCCACTTGGCCCAGGTCCCCCCCAAAAAACACACGACGTTCCCTTGAGCGATTGGGCACCGATCCCAACTGTTCTTTTCAGCTTTCCCCAACGTTCCATGCCAGCTCCGTCTTCTTTTTCTTGCCATGTTGATGTGTTTGTCAGTGGCTATCACCGTATCTGTCTGTCTTGCCGCAGTTGCGTAGGGGTCGTTTGTGTGGTGTGGGCCAACTGTCAGCTGTGTGCTGCAGGGATCTGGGCATGGGAAAAGCCGGGGAAAGCCCGGGGAAAAGGCTTAGGTATCCGGCTATCAATCGAGGCATTTTCTTTTTTGTCTTTTCTTTCCGATCGGGGTGGTATAAGATGTTTGTTTGGGAGATACGACCCTTGGCCCGAGGGTTTCTTGGTTCGGAAAGCGTTCGTTTCCGAATTTTGACAGTTTTTCTACTTTTTCGATAGGATTGGATTAATGCCAATTATCTGAAGCCGCGTCAATACTTAGAAATGAAACACTGTACTGTTGTTTGAGCCTTTTTGGTGGCATCAGCCTGTAAAACGTCGGCTTTTCGATTTTCCAAAGCCCAAAAAACCAGTTTTCATGTTTTTTCTCAAGAATTACAATAGATTTCTCAGCTCTCTAGCTTGAAACCCTTAGGATTATGCTAATTGCGATTAAAGGAAATTAAATTTTGCACTAGATATGCCGATTCAAACCTTGATTTGAGTGATTTTGATGTCGTAATCTCTTTAAAATGCTAAGTTTTTAAAAGGCCGTTTGCGAGAGACCCGAACTGCCCCCATGATGGCTTGGTACAGTTTTTTTTGACCCTGTTTTTTTGACTCCATCTGAAAGAGCATGGTCGAATTAGTAGGGCCGCACTATTTTGAGATTTTTAAAGAGTCATTTTCGGGGTTTAAATGGCCGCTAAAGTTGCGGACCTCAAAAATTTATCTCGAAAACCACACGGCCGATCTTGCTGAAAATTTTTGTCAATGCCTAATTTGGGATGGGGATCATTTCTCTAATACATTGGGAAGCACGAAAATGGCAGGAACATAGGTATATTGCGTACCATAAACAGTTTTTGAGGGTTTTCTACTACAAGGCGGGTCCGGCGCATCTTGAAACTAGCATAGAAAAATGCACCGGAAAATTCTGCGTCGGATGATGTGCTTTCCAAGATGCGCCCAACTCGCCTCTAGCCGCTGTACCGATGTTTCGACGTCGAAAACCATCAAAATTGACGCTTTTTGGGGGATTTCTGGGCTGGGCTATGCGAGATAGTGCGAGAGGGGGAGAGGGCAGAGACGGCTAGGGTGGTCAAGTTGGGGGCTTTCTGGCAGCACCCGACTCGCTCCCCCAGGGCTGTTGTCTGCCTGTCTCGACTCTCTATGCCTTCCGCACTCTCTCGTTGACCTGCCCCCGGGAATCCTCCCAAAAAGCGTCAATTTTGATGGTTTTCGACGTCGAAACCTCGGTACAGCGGCTAGAGGCGAGTTGGGCGCATCTTGGAAAGCACATCATCCGACGCAGAATTTTCCGGTGCATTTTTCTATGCTAGTTTCAAGATGCGCCGGACCCGCCTTGTAGTAGAAAACCCTCAAAAACTGTTTATGGTACGCAATATACCTATGTTCCTGCCATTTTCGTGCTTCCCAATGTATTAGAGAAATGATCCCCATCCCAAATTAGGCATTGACAAAAATTTTCAGCAAGATCGGCCGTGTGGTTTTCGAGATAAATTTTTGAGGTACGCAACTTTAGCGGCCATTTAAACCCCGAAAATGACTCTTTAAAAATCTCAAAATAGTGCGGCCCTACTAATTCGACCATGCTCTTTCAGATGGCGTCAAAAAAACAGGGTCAAAAAAACTGTACCAAGCCAGTTCGGGTCTCTCGCGAACGGCCTTTTAACTTTTCGGTCCTTGTTGATAAGTTGATGATGATCGTTCATTTTTCCGATTTTCTCGACTGGACTACTGTACCCTTTTTGGAGCTTGAACAGCGTTCACTTGCAAAAAATGTGTAAACCTATCCACCCAAGCCTTCTGCAGCCCTCAGGCGGTCAAAAACCCACGTTTTGTGCAGTGGAAACAGATGTTTTCCCCGGCGTTTTGTTGCTCTCAAACTAATCCATTTTGACATAAATTTCTCAGCGTTTTGTGCCTGGGAGACAATCTGTTCACATCCGCATCACAGTTCGCTTCCAGAGCTTGGAGGCTATAAATTTTCTGCTTGTTATTCTTTGGTAATTTTTTCACATTTACATTTCTCTCCCTCTCTCTCTCTCTCTCTCTCTCTCTCTCTCTCTCTCTTTCTCTGTCTCTCTTTCTCTCTCTCCCTGTCTCTCACTCTCTCTCTCTCTCTCTCAGCTCTCCCATATAATTTTTATGCATCTCTCGTTCGACGTACATCTCCTGCCCTTCTAGAACATGGTGACCACCCCAATATTCCTGTTCGAAGACGTCGACGCGCCAAATTTGATCACGTTGCCCACCTCAATTTGTCGCGCCC